CGAGCCCTGCGTCGACAGGCTCAGAGCCTGGAGCCTGCTTTGGATTCTGTGTCTCAGCCTCTCTCTGCCCCTCCCATGCTCATGCTCATGCTCTGTCTCTCAGTAATAAATAAATGTTAATTTTTTTTTTAAACGAAACAAAGTAAAACCAAATAAACAACACTCTTAGGCATGCTACTTGTGTATTTCTTTTGCATTAAAATTGGAGATTATATCTCAACTACTAGATTTGAATCACTAGGTGAGAACTGTTTGTGACATTATATTGCTAACAAACCAGTTTTTCTAGTCTAAGTTTGTATTTTTAACCTTTTGTTGCATATGTATTTGCAGATGTCATTACTTATACTAGATGGTGAAATCACAAAAGTTGGGAAGGGAATATTTTAAGAGTTCTAGTCCTAGTATTAAATTCTTTATATCACATGACTATGTCTGTTGAGTGTGTGATCAAATGAAAACAATTATTTCTACAAGGTAGTGATTATTTAAGACTCCTAAATTGGTGTAATTTTGATTAATATCTATTTTATAAATATTTTGGCAAATTACATTGGCCTGATGCTGGGTGCCATCAGGCTAGCATTTAGAAACCACTGATGAAATAATAATCTTAAAACTACAACTGACAAGTATTCTCTTCCCAACCCTAGCATTGTTTCCCGCAATAAGCCAGGAATACTGCCTTTGAAATTATACATGTCTTTTTGTCATCTGCATTCCCATGATTGTGTTAACCACAGAGGAGGTGTCAGCTAATATTTGTCAAATAAATGGATAGAAATTCAATTGGAGCTGTACTATAAAATAAATACAGTACTTTTAAATACTTTAAGCCTGCTAAAAAGTAGAATTTAAACATGATGAATCTTCTACTAGGTATGGAAGGTTTATTATTGAAATTCACTGGTCATTACTTTTAAACGTGTTCAATCAAGAGGCAGAATTTTTAATATTATCAAGTTTGAATAATGGTTGTAAAAATTCCTCAAAATATTTAGAGATAACTGGCTCTAAATATTTAGAGATAACTATCTGGGTGGCCCAATTGGTTAAGTGTCTGACTCTTAATCTCAGCTCAGGTCATGAGCTCATGGTCATAAGAGTGAGCCCCACATTGGGCTCTGTGCTGACAACACAAAGCATGCTTGAGATTCTCTTTCTTCCTCTCTCTGCCCCTACCCTGCTTGCTCTCTCTCTCAAATAAAGAAGTAAATATTAAACGACAAAAAAGCAAGGTTTGGAACCAGTCAGAATGTGAGGTTATCACAAAGGCACTAATTTTCTCTTATGTGGAAATAATGCGGAATTAATAATATGGAATTAATAATGTGGAAATAATGTGATCTTTTTTGATTGTGCAAAATGACCATAAGGGTTACGTTATCCACATGAGCTGAAAATTAGCAGATATCTAGGGGAGGCCACAATAGAGAAACATTCCATCCTTCCAAAAGAAAAAAAAAGATCCCAACTGGAGTAGATGTGGATGTGGAGTAGATGTGGATGTGGAGTAGATGTGGATGTGGATGTATTGGGGAATTGTCATGTACATCATCATTCTTATTCTTGGTAGGATACCAAAGGATTTCCTGACCTCTGCTTCCCAGTCTTCTTCACAGCTGTAGTGTAGCGCTGAAGAGTTTATAGGTCATGTGTCATCCTTTCTTAGAGACCCAGAACTTATGTTTCCCATCCAAAAACTGGAACAGGACATGGGGACTATTCAAAGACAACAGTAAGGACTTATATGTATGAGTTTTGTCAGCCAACAGAGATGCCCAGACCTGTCAGAAATCCTTTAGTACTGCATCAGAGTAGGGACATGCTTATAAGGAAAAAGTGCAGAAGGTAACATAGTCTTACACACTTTTCTCCATAGCTGGCCATTGGGAAAAGCCCTTCCTTGATCAACTGAGTGTTCTAACGGCAAATTAGAGTTCCATTGTTCCATTCCATTCTGGAAAATTTATATAATAAAGTTCTTTAAAAAATAGTTTATTTTATGATTTTTTTTTTCCAATTTAATCCACATATCTAAATCACCAAACGAGACGTGCCTGGCTGGCTTAGTCAGTAGAGCATGTGACTCTTTATCTTAGGGTTGTAAATTTGATCCCCATGTTGGGTGTAGAGATTACTTAAAAAAAAAATCTTAGAAAGAAAACTATCAAACCAATAAACTTGTTTTTATAATATCAAGGTTAGACCTATACTCTAGAGCTTGTTCTTGCTTGGGTTTAAATTCTCAATGCACCACTAACTGACTAAATAAGTCATTAAAAACCCCTGTGCTTCAGTTTCTTTATCTGTAAAATGGTGACAATATTATTACCTACCTACAGATTTGTAAGGATTAAATAACTCGATAAATGCAAAGAGTTTAGAACAGTTTTATTTACTAAATGTTTTCTGACTGATGGTTATAATTAGTGCTACTTATTTTTAGTAAGATTGTTTTTAGAGTTTAACCATGAACACTAAAAAATAAAATAAAGATGCCCTACGGTCTTAGTTTTAATGAAATAGCTATTGACGTCATCTGACAAGGTAGATAATTACAATTACTCTATTTTGTTATTTTTACCATTACTTACAAAAAATACATATTGAAATAGTTATAATTTAACATACAGTAAGTGCATGGAGTGTGCCTTACTTCTTTTCAAATCATGCATTTTAGTAAGTGAACTTCTAGCTTCATAAAGTAAAAAAAAACAAAGTTTGTTAATTTTGGGTATTATATATACACGATCAAAACAGATGAAGGTAATGATTAATGTAGAGGCAATTTGTGCTGTAGACCCATGACCCAGATAATAGTTAGTATCAAGTTACTTTGAGTAATTATTTGTTTTTGCTTAGAATGCATTTGTGTGCTGTTTTTATACTAATTGAAATATGAAAGCAATTCTGTTATCCTAAATTCTACCTACTTTTTGACTGCTTCAAATTATTAAATGAGTTGTAGATATCAAATATCACATTATTCAATGCTGGGTCATTAAATGTGAAATACTTTATAAGAGAACAATCATAGCCCAGTATGATTTTTTGAATATTTGTTTATATAATTTAGATACAGTTGGATATTTAAATTGTACTGGGGACTCTGTCATTTGGTGTCAGTGATTTGTTCCTTCATCTTATGACCTCAGGAGAGTCAATAAAGATAATAATGTAGGATTAGTTACTATTGGTATTAAAACATAAATACTGTAAATTCTAAATGTTAAAAGATTCTAGAAGTCAGGGAAAATTTCTTCCATACATGCCTCATGAGTCATATGCTTTGAGGGTGCTACATAAATAAAGTAACATAACTCACAACAAGCCAATTCTATTCAAAAGTCTTGTCTCCATAAATCATATTGGATGATAACTCACTTTAACGTTCTTAACGTTCTTTTAAATAGATATAATGAAAGACACGGTCAATTTGATTTACACTCATGATGCAAATATCATCGCAGAAATTCTCTACTAGGTGTAGCCTACAAACCACGGAACTTTCTTGCTTCTTTTACTGTGTGTTTTTTTTTTTTTTTTTTTTTTTCTTCAGAAAACTGATTTTTCCCCATCCCTCTTTGCTACAAAGGAAATTATTAGCAAGTCTTTACTTGTATGTATGTCCCAACTCTGACCACATCCTAATACCTCTGCAGCTAAAACCCTAGTCCAGGCAATTCTTCTCTCTTTCTTATATGTCAGCACTAGGCTTTCAACTAAGTCTTCCTGCCTCTGCTTTTGCTCCTTTTTTTCTTTACAGTCCATTCCAAAAACAATCCAGATATACTTAAAGCATAAATTTGATCATATCCCTCCTACACTTAAAATTTTCCCATGGCTTCTCATTAAAACTGGAACAAAACCCAAATTCCTCATAATGGGTATGCCTTTCTGCTAGATCCCATCACCTATCACTTGACCTTTCCTTGCCTCCAGCAACAACCCCTGACTCTACTACCCTCAGCCTCCAACTACCTTCCTGTTCTTTCTGTCCCTAGAATGTACCTTGTGACATTTGCACTTCTGTTCACTCTAGAATTCTTCCCTTAGGTCTCTGATTGCCTTCTCAAAATGTATGCCCCTGTTCGAGTGTCATCTTCTTAGAGAAGTATCTCCCAAATACTCTGGATAAAATTGACTTCTCTTTCTTCCAAATGATTCCCTATATCTTCATCCTGTTTGATTTTCTTTCTAGTATTTACCACTACCTGTTATTATACTGATCACATATTTATACCCGTTCTCACCTTTGTGTGCTGCTTTAGTATTTTCAGACATGTCTGGCACACGGTTGGCATATAATAAGCATTTGTTGAATGAAAAAATGACTGTTTTCAATAATGGGCTTTTAAAAAAATGTTTATTTTTGAGAGAGAGAGAGAGAGAGAGAGAGAGAGTAGGGGAGGGGAAGAGAGAGAGGGAGAGAGTAGGCTCTGCATTGTCAGAGCAGACCCCAACCTGGGGCTCAAACCCATGAGCTGCGGGATCATGACCTGAGTCGATATCAAAAGTCAGATGCTTAACTGAATGAGCCACTCACGTGCTTCAATAATGGACTGTTTTTAACTCTGTGATTCTCAGCATCATCCCACCATTCCTTCCTATGCTATGTTTCCATGGTCTTTAGTCCCAAGGCTCCAACAAAACTTATCTTATTTTATCTTCCCTATTCATTTATACTTTGATTATTGTTTTAACTCTAGCAGTTCTAATTGTAGTTATATCACCTCACCTCTGGCTTCTATAGATAAAATGGCCTCAGTTGTCTTTGACGACAACTGCTCTTTCCAGAGCCCACTAAGAAATAAAAGGAAGTTACGATATTTTCCTTGATTTTTTTTCTTGCAGTAAGACTTCTGATTCTTATGAGTCTCAGCCTCAAATGCATCTCTCATTAAGGATAAAATCTAGAAAGGGTATTAAAGTTAAACCATCTTTCTGAGTTTACACAGGTGATGACAGAAATATAATGTACTTTGTTTTTCTTTCAGATCTCCCACTAAAGACATGGATTCAGAAGAGAAGGAAATTGTGGTTTGGGTTTGCCAAGAAGAGAAGATTGTCTGTGGGCTAACTAAACGCACCACCTCTGCTGATGTCATCCAGGCTTTGCTTGAGGAACATGAGACTACATTTGGAGAGAAACGATTTCTGCTGGGGAAGCCCAGTGATTACTGCATCATAGAAAAGTGGAGAGGCTCAGAACGGGCTCTTCCTCCACTCACTAGAATCCTGAAGCTTTGGAAAGCTTGGGGAGAGGAGCAGCCCAATATGCAATTTGTTTTGGTTAAAGCAGATGCTTTCCTTCCAGTTCCACTGTGGCGAACAGCAGAAGCCAAATTAGTGCAAAACACAGAAAAAGTGTGGGAACTCAGTCCAGCAAATTACATGAAGACATTACCACCAGATAAACAAAAGAGAATAGTCAGAAAAACTTTCCGGAAACTGGCTAAAATTAAGCAGGACACTGTGTCCCATGATCGAGATAGTATGGAGACATTAGTTCATCTGATTATTTCCCAGGACCATACTATTCATCAGCAAGTCAAGAGAATGAAAGAGCTGGATCTGGAAATTGAAAAGTGTGAAGCGAAGTTCCATCTCGATAGGGTAGAAAATGATGGAGAAAATTATGTCCAGGATGCATATTTAATGCCCAGTTTCAGCGAAGTCAAGCAAAAACTGGACTTGCATTCGGATGAAAACCAGATTCCGGACGACCTGACCGAAAGCGATGGAATTGTACACCTGGAGGAGCAATTAGCATATTACAGAATGCTCATTGATAAGCTCTCTGCTGAAATAGAGAAAGAGGTAAAAAGTGTTTGCACAGAGATAAATGAAGATGCAGAAGGGGCAGCTGCGAGTGAACTTGAAAGCTCTAATTTAGAAAATGTTAAGTGTGATTTGGAGAAAAGCATGAAAACCGGTTTGAAAATCCACTCTCACTTGAGTGGCATCCAGAAGGAGATTAAATACACTGACTCATTGCTTCAGATGAAAGCAAAAGAATATGAATTCTTGGCCAAGGAGTTCAGTTCACTTCATCTTAACAACAAAGATGGATGCCAACTGAAGGAAAACAGAGGGAAGGAATCTGAGGTCCCCAACAGCGGTGGGGACGGTCCTTCCCTTACTCCGAGAGCACTTAACTTGTATACAAATGACACAGACTCAGACACTGGTATCAGCTCTAACCATAGTCAGGACTCAGAAACAGCTGTAGGAGACGTGCTGCTTCTGTCAACGTAATTTGAATGGCTTCTTTCTGAGCTACTGCAACGTTGTTCACGGTTGTTTAATAGGAAACCTTATTTTAAACATCACGTTCCGAAAAATGATGTAATTCATGTTAAGTATTCGGAAGTTAATAAAAGCTAGAGAAATTTGTAAGTTTATTTTTGACTTAAGATTTCCAAAGTGACCTCATGATTACAAGTTTAGACGATGAGCTGTTTATTAGGAATGCAACACAAATAGCGTGCAGGTGTATAACAGAAATGATTTGATGGGAATTATAATATTTTATAGCTTCTGCAGGAAATGATTTATACAAACAAAACTAATTCTTAATAGTGCAGTCAGTATATTGAAACTGTACACATGAACAAGTAAAATTAAAATGTGCTGTACTATATTTTTTCAAAGCGCTATCATTGGAATTTTTAAATCTGTATAGTACATGAAAGCTATTGTATAGTAAGTGTATTAATTCAAGTCTTGGTTTTTCTCATTGATGCTTAGAATGTACATCATCTCTGTTCACTTTCTGAACCTCTCTACTTGTTTAGACCTAGATGACAGGAGGTGGGAAGGGCTGCCTTTGGGACATGTGCAAATTCTGGCAGTGGATGGATGGATTGGATGAGAGAGGGCCAAGTGCTGCATTACAATAGCAGTTTTTCTAAAGAGGCCTAAAATTAATAAAATTGAAATATGCACGGCCTTTCTCTGACAAAGCAAATCTGATCAAACAAATAACCTGTGCAGGTTTGTTTTATGAGTGAGGTATGATGTGGGTTACCGAGAAAATCACAGGGTCACAGTTCTGTTCCTTTATGCCCTGTCTGCAAAAGTCGAAGAGAGGCAACTTGGGGTCCTTTGTGTGGGTAAAATAGAGGTCTATATGCCATAAGTATTAGCATTTTGTCTCTGAACCTACAGAGAGGAGCTCACATGGACAAAAATCTTTTATTCTAGTACACTAGAATTCAGATTATGTTTGTAGAACTTCCTCTAAGGTGCAAACAAACAAAAAAAGTACTAGTTCTAACCCCACTCCTCCCCCAAGGTTGCTGGTAAATGTCCAACAAATTGAATGGCTTGTTTAGATCCTTCCTTCAGTGACACTCATTATAGTACGAGACTAGGTTTGGTTTCACCTGGTTTTTAGGTGGGAAGATTTTTTTTTTTTTTCTCTCTCTCCCTTCTTTGCTTCTTGCTAGTAAACACATGATGTAATCATATTGAAACAATTAGTTTACTGTTTTATTGTACTGTTAAATAAATACTATTGCAGTTTATTTTTTCTTTACCTGACACTTTTCCTATATGTCAGTGCACATGTAAGTAAGAACATTATCTTACTTAGTTTGAATATATGGATATTGGTGAAGATCCAGTATTTCTTATTTCTTCCCTTTTATTCCCAAGCTTACTGTAGTGAATGTTTAACTCAGTTTCTTAGCCTACTTTTTTATTACTCCATCCTCCAGGCTTTTCACCAATCTTTGGGAAGATACATAGAATACTTTAGTATTTCACTTTTGGGGAGCATCTGTGTTATCATTTCTTGCACCAAGATAATGCTAAAGGCCTTAGTTGAAGTTGGCTGGTAAAGAAAGTACGAATTTCCATTCCAGGGAAAATATAGTGATAATAGAGTAAGTAATAAGGGTAATATGGGTTTAATAGGAAAAAAAAAAGCAGGTCATTGAATAGTCATCTGAGAAAGAGAAATTTCCAAAAATGCCATTAAATCATTCAGCAATGAGGCAAATTACTGATATATTCATTGTTCACTACTGGGGATTAAATTCAGAAGATCATCCTCAATGATAAACCAATTGCAATGTTGTTCTCCAAAAGTGAAAGCCACTTCTTTGGGTTACTGTTCAGTGAGAAAATAATAAAAAGAACATTACTTATCTGCTATATAATATAATTAATTGTCTGAATTCAAAAGAAGTTCTGATAAGAAATAGTATTAGACTAGATTTTAGAATCTTTGAATTCTGCTTTTATATATAGTTAAGCACAGTGATACATTCTAAGAATTACACTTCTATATTTCTACAATAATTTATGTTAAAAAACTCTTGTCAGAAAGCAGAAGCATTGACTTAAATTCACTTTAGAATTTCTAGTTGTTCTTTTGTTATACAAATGTGTCTGTGCTTCTGATTCACCATGGTGCACCTCTAACTTAGAATAATAATACAAATAAATATACTAAACTATAATGCCCTCATCTCTGGAGACGGAACTATTCTTTATTAAATTGAGAATCTGAATTATAAGTACAGAACTTGATAGAAACGTTAATGTTTTAATCATGTAGAGAATCTTTAAAACAAAGTGTTTATAAATTATTGAGTAACCTGACAGGTCAACTATGAAATTGGAGTATGCAGCTAAGAAGTAGCAAACCAAAGCTGACTATTCTTCCTTCATGGAACTTTGATTTTCATAGACTGTACCTTGTTCATCCTTCCCCTCGGAATGCCACTTTTCCCCTCGATCTGTCATCTGTCCGTCTGTCATTGAGACGTACCCACTTTGTCTTTTTAACATGTTATTTCTTCTATGAAACATTTATTCTGTTCAATCAGTTGTGAGATTTCTGAGCCCAAAACTATTTTAGATGTACTTTTCATAGAGGAGCACATATACTACGGCTTAGCTTATATTTATTTATGGACTTCCCCCTACCAATGTATTTTTTATCATTTTATCACCTTATCTTCTATCTTGTTAACCATACTCCCTCCAATCAACCTCTTTACCTCCTTGCCCATACTGAATTTTTGCATTAAAATGCTAAATTTTGAAGGCTGCAACCATTTTAAAAATTGTTTCTAAAACATGGTAAATAATGGTCATGCATTTTATATATAAATATGCATCTTAGCAGACTTAAAGCATTAATAGTAATCCGACTTATAGATTCTTTAGGGGAGACACTAAGTCTTTGTGTTATTATGAAAAAAAATAAATTGGCAGGTTTTTTTTAACTTTATTTTTAATTCACAGTTACTGATTTAAGGGAATGCAATTATTGTCTTTTTAAAAGACCCTAAATTGTTAAATTATGGTATTTTCCTCTGCATTGTATGAGTGTAGGGCAAAAATATATTCTGTAGAACTAAATATAGTAGTAGATCAAAAAACCCTGAAATATCCTAGATGAAATATCTATTTTATTTTCTCTTTCTAATTCAAAAAATAAAAAAATAAATGGCCATTCAGTGTGTAGAAGCTATTATAATGCATTAAAATTTTATTTTTATATTATTTAAATATCTACTGTGCATGACAAAATATATTTCTGTGGCTGCATTTTATAGTTTTTCAAAGTAGAATTATCATTTTGTTTAGAATGTATTTTTCTAGTGACAAAAGGATTACCTTTTAATCCAGATATAGATTTTTTAAAATATTAGGCTATTTCTTTTTATACTACCTGATTGGTTTAAAAATCTGATGTGACAAATATAAAGTATATATAATTTCTTCAAATGTAACTAATCCAGAATAATAAAAGAAATAGTTGTACCCTTTTATGTGATATTGTTTGTTTTTTCTGAGTATGTTATATGACATATTAAAAATAAATTTTCTATTATTTGGAGTTATAATTACTGACCTAACTTACACAAGTTAAGATCAGGTATTATTTCATAAGAATACCTAGCAAATGAGACCTAATAAAACTTTTTATTAGGTTTCATACATCTCTGTTTCAATTTGTCATGAAAAGTGTCCTCATTTATATATTGGATGGCTGGTTTTATGGCCCGATATCTTGCTTTCTAGAATGAAATCCACTTTAATGTAATAATATTTGATTGTAAATCTTCCCTGCTATTATTTACTTCGCATCAGGTTCTGTGCCAAGCATGGAGCCTGCTTAAGATTCTCCCTCTCTTGGGCGCCTGGTGGTTCCATTGGTGTATGACTACCGCTCAGGTCATGATCTTATGGTTCATGGGTTCAAGCCCCACGTCAGGCTCTGTGTTGACAGCTCAGAGCCTGGAGCCTGCTTTGGATTCTGTGCGTCCCTCTGTCTCTGCCCTTCCCCTGCTTATGCTCTGTCTCTCTCCCTCTCTCTCAAAAATAAAAAAATTAAAATAAAAAAAGATTATCTCTCTCTCTCCCTCTGCCTCTCCCCTGCTTGTGTACTCTCTCAAAAATGCTTAACCTGTTAATGTTCCTCAACATTAGCTCTCTTGGCATTTTGGCAGCAGAGTTTTTGGCATGCAACTCATTAATTGCAGAACATTTAGCATCCCTGTGTCCTGCTGGATGTCAGTAGTGCACCTCCAACCCTACATTGGGACAAACAAAAATACCCTTATTAACCCCTCTGGGAGAGGGTGATATTGTCCTTAGTTACAAACAAGGTAGTAATATTGGAGTTTGATTATTATTAAAAGAAAACAGCCTTTATCTTTTAAAAATAAAAGAAGAACCATATTGACTACAAATGCATAGAACATTCCACTAAAAAAAGGAGGTAGATATGAGGGTGGGGTCCAATTTAGGATTGTTTTTGTAATAATTGACACCATCTGCATTTGCCAGGAATTCAGCCAGCCCAAGTTGATTTCAAGAATTTTAAAACTTTGTTATTATGCTTCCATAGGTACTGATGCTTGAGAAAGCACTAATGAAGTTACCAGTTTTTGAAACCACTGTCTCATTGTGACTATTCTGTAGTTTCTGCTACAACGAAATCAAAGTTCAAAAAAAAATGTCAGTGGAGGGAAGCATATTTCCCTTCAGTATTGTTTAATCCTTATCTATAGGGATGCTTGACAATAGGTTCAAACACTAGTTATTCTTCCAAGATAAGAGAATGTTGCTTACAGAAGTTACTATTTGAGATTCCAGACAATGGCCAGAAAGAAAAACAAAAAGGTAGAGGATTAAAGAACCAACAGTTACTAAATTTACCCATAGTGACTCTGATTTCTATCAGGGTTCCTGGTATTTAGTTCTTATGCTTCTTGACATCATTAGGATTCAAGCTG